TATTTATATTTGGGTAGCGTGGACATCCACGATAGCTGGTAACGAAGTCCTCCCGGTATAGGGCCCATTTAGGTGTCTCTAATTTACTTTTATGAAAACATTGTGCAGTAAGGCTATCTATCTCCAGCACATTTCATACATTTGGATAGTTTGCAGTAGCAATTTTTAGTGTGGCTGTAATTCTGACCCTCATGACTTTAATTTAGATATTTTCCTTTGATTTTATATATCATCATGCTTGATTAATGAAAATCAAAGTTAAATCAAGTATATTTAAGTCAGGTTTCGTTTATACTTCCAGGTTATAGAAGTTCGATTATAATTTCAATACTTTCTTTCCAAATCTACGAATTCTATCAGAATCGAAACGCCATCAAACATCCAGCTATAATAAGAAATAAAGAAGTTTATACTTATTGACATACATACTATATGGATTTTTATTTATGGACCGAAGATGTATTTAATAAATAAGAGACATATATTAAATTGTCATTATTTATACGTAAGTTTGGTCCCACTTGTAACTTAAAGCTTCGTTAACTGTTGTACAAGTAAGTGTTACAGTTCCACTTATTGTAATTACTTTGCATTATTGGGTTCTAATTTGAGGATAAAAGGAAATCGTACGAAGGTTAGGGAGTATTTAGATTTGGGGTAATTTAAAGCATAACCTTATACAGTATGTCTGGTCAGAGCTCGAGAATAAACTAATCACTCCAGAATAAAGAAGTTCCAGAAAAAGTAAACACCGTAGTTATTTATATGTATGGGAGATGCAACAGGTTTAATCCGATAATTCAAAATTTCCCAATTCTTTGCTTTTTTCCTCTTGGCCAAAAAAAACCCCACTTCCCGAACAGCAATCTGAAATGCTTATTTAATGCTTTTAATCTATGATCCTTAGGCAAAGGCGAAAGATAATGCAAGAAAATTTGTGAAAGTTCCGTAAGATTAGAAAATAAATAAGTTTGATTTCTTACTTACTTGTACGAAGTATTGTAATTGCGAAAAATTCAATGAAGATGTCCATTTTGACCGCTCTAGAATTCATTTGAAAGATGTTTTTGTGTGACATCTCTATGTACGAACAGAATAAAGGACACTTTTCCGCAAAACGGATTGTAAAACTCATTTAAAATGGCTTCAGAAGAGACCTTTTTCGTGACGTCTGTACGTACGGAAGTATGTATGTATATATCTGACATTACTCAAAAACGAGTAGCCTCAGAACGTTTAAATTTTGAATATGGGACTGCTGTAGCATGCAGTTGTGCACCTCCCTTTTTGGTTGCAATTGGCCACACCATTTTTTTGCTTTAAAAGTAATTGAATTACTTTGTTCTTATGTTCCGGTTAGGATTTTATGCCTTAGTTAACATCTTGCATGCAGTTTAGTTAAACTGAAAAATATAAATATTCTATAACTCTTGTAATATTCTATAACTCTTATAATAAATATTCTTATATAATAAATATTCTATAACTTATAGAATTATCAACAATTTAAAAGATGCTTAAGTGCGACTGAGCCTAAAAAAGCCGCAATTTGTTTAAATTTGAAACTTTTAAAAGAATAGTGATTTACGTCAATTTTTGCACTGATTTCAGTGTCGTTTTGCCGATTGGGACCAAAAACGAACTTCCAGTTTTGTGCACCAAAAAATATGTCTTCCTGCCCTCTGGCAGAACTGCTTGCTTTTGCATAGAAATTCTAATTTCAACTGTAAAACTTGTTTTTTTAACTGTTTTTAACGGTACGTGGTGCTTTATGATTTTTTGTATTTTACGAATTTTATTGAAGCTGTTTTGTGTTTTTTATGCATTTTTGCCTTGTCGCAAAATGAGAATTGAATTTATTGAATGAGAAATATATTATTTCTAATGAAATTCGAGGAAAAATGTTTAAATGAAATGCAGCAAAAAGTATGTAGAATTTAATTGGCCGTACAAGGAAGTCAGTGTGATGGCCACATAAGTTTTTTTAAATTTATTATTCTTTAGGAACAGTTGGCCATAATCGTATCTTTTATAGCAATCCATATCACTAATAAAATCTAAAAGGAAGGAGACACAAAAAATAAAGTAGAATAAATAAGTGCCAAACGTGAGCTATAAATTTCCTTAGTGTTAACCTAACTTGAATTTATCCTCGTCCCGTAGGAAAACATTTAAGTCATTCAAACTAATATTCTAACAAATTAGAGGCGTTTCTTGTTTCAGATAAGTTCTCATATCCGCATTTACTTAAAAGTGGAGTATGTTCACAATTACATTTTAACTATTTCAAGTGTATAAATAATTATACTATGATGGCAACATCACGTGTTTTCGACGATAAGGTTTCGACGATGTTTCAAGTGCCACCATGGCGTATAGACATTACATATGTAAGGTGTATGTTAATTATATAACAGTTATTTTAATTTTGAAACCCTTTCATTTAAATTCTTGTGTGCCAATTACAACTCCCTACCAGAATGAGTTTTTAGAATCACGTTGAATGCAAATGAGTTAGAAGTAGTATTAAAAGGAAGTAACCGTGTCTTATCTCGGAGTCGAATCTCGGCCCAGTGTAATATAGCAGCTATCACTGATAATGATCAAACTGATCGGGACGGCAGGAATCGATTTTTTATAAAGGATATTTTTAAACTTATTTTTTCCATTCAAGATGCCCCATTTAACATCGGAAAAGAATAGGTGAATAAGAAACATATAATGTTGATTTTTTACTTAGACTATTTATGCTAAATTGTTCTATAAGAGTAATATGAAGGGGATACTTATTACTCATTTTTAAATGCTAAATGGGTGAAACTCTATTGAAACGTTCATGAAATTAATGTTAGCAAATGAAATGACTTTTATTCCTATTGGACGTCTTATATTTTGCTGTGGAAAATACGCAGATACTATGCGGATGCTCAAAAAAGAGTTCTTCATCTAACAGAACATTTCAGTATGAATCGATTTCAGTAACGATTTCCTTTAATGTTACCAAGGTTAAGACTATTTAGATGATCGAAGAGCACGCGAGGACTATCTGTCGAAGGGAATGGGATGCCTTCATGAAGGAAGTTTTAAGAGAAATGGGCTGGTATTTACGTTACACTGGAAAATACTACAGAAATTCTTGTACAGCCAGCCCATCCGCCAAGTTTTGGACCCGAGACGAACACTAGTATTCTGTGATTCTATTGCTCAACCGTCGGAGAGGGAAGAAATAAGGAAATTCAGAAACAAAAGTCGTACTATTGACCAAAAAATCGGATGTCACCGCAATATGGTTCCCTCCTCAGAATTTGGAGCAACAGTCAATTCCAACTTTTTTCTTTCTTCAAATCTAGAAGAAATTTAAGGCATTCTGTAACTTCATGCATTATTGATTTCAGTAATTTGGAAGTTTCGCCATAACATAGTAGAAACAGTTATAATTATTTGTGAGGTTCCTTTACTTTCAACAACCAGTTATTTTGTTGTTCTGAATGCGTACTATCACTTGTTTCTTTCCGTTTTCCTCCCAGAATGCAAATTAGTTCGCGTGCATTTATATTGAAGTTTAGAGATAGTTCAGACGGAGCGTTTTCTGCCACTCATAGTCATGTTCCTAGGGTTGCTACTTTAAATAAGAGTTCCCGTCTTTGGCCTTGGATTACAAAAGCCGAAATCTGAAATCCACGCCAGAGAATTTCTGAGCCAACTTCGCGTAAATTGCGCTGTGTAGCCTTTGGTTATTAGTCTATTTAAATTTAAGCTTTGGATTTCGCTTCTTGATCTTGAGTTTCTCGCCATAAATACTGGCGAAATCGTAAGCACCAGCAGGGGCTTTTGTTCATCTATTTTTACTTAAATAAGATATCTTTTACAACCTTCCCAAATTTCTGTTATACTTTTAGCGATAAGTATCTTAACATTGGATATTACTCAACAGAGTTAAACTTTACGTAATTATAGTCAATTTACGTATTATTTATTCGTAGACAGCAACAACGATCACTGCGAGTACTGGATATAAGATCAAAATTTTGTATATTTTTTAAAATTTTGTTACTAAGAATATAGGTTATTAAAACACATGTTAGCATATGTTTACAAAGCTATACCGTTGTTAGTAATCAAATTATTTTCAGAAAAAAAATCGATATATGTAAGTTATACAAAAAAATACGTTGCAGAAAATTTATGAATCTTCAGTAACATTGGAGGTTTCGTAGTTTACCTATGCAACGTTTTTCCTTTCGTAGCTTTCCCACCAGCGGCCGAGCGGTAAAATCGCTGAACACTGGTAGTTCGGCTCGAGGTCGAATCCTGCGAACGGGCTGGCTGCATGGGCGTTTTCGTGGTTTTCCCCATGTGTAACATGAATACGAGCCAGTTTCCCTTAGAATGTCCTCCACGAAGGTATCCCTCCCCTTAGGCAGATAGCCCTCGAGGCTTTGTCGTAATTAAATAACCTAACCTAACCTAACCTTTCGTAGTTTACGTGCAACGTGGATACAAAGTAGTTCCACTCAGAATATACTCTATGAAGCCATTCCTGCCGCTATGCAGATAGCTTTTGTTTATTTAGCTCCTCCTTAAATTCGACCCAATCAATTAACTTAATTTAACCAGCTTTTACGCTAATTAGTTAATGTAATTTTAATACGCTTTTATTACGCTAATTAGTTAATGTAATTTTAAAAGTGTTTTTCTCTTGAAAACAGCAGAACCTGTTATTTCTTTATTATTAAAGTGCATATCGATTTTACTTTGTTTAATGTTACCAAAAACATCAGTATCTTTAGTTTGCAGTTATTTTATTAATTGGCAGGATATTAATTCAGAGCTTCCGTTATTATTCATCTGCTTGTGATATCTATTATAGTATCCGTCAAAAGTGATAATTCGCTTTAATAGTTGGGGGAATGGAGAAGTTAATGGAGTTAAGAATTATCCCGCAAAATCAGCTCACAGATAAATATTTGAAATGATTTTCAGCCTATTTATTATGGACGAATAATCTACGATATTACATATATCGAATGAACAATACATTGAAAAGATGATTTTGCTTTGTTGAAATAGAGAAATAACTTCATATTTTGACAACTGTATGCTAAGCTTTATTGTAAAAAAGTAACTGTGCTGAAACCAGAAATATTTAAAGCACTTAACAATTAGACGCTTGTCAATGTATCATTTCATCGAAATCACTAAAAATCAGATTCTTTAATTCCTGCATATAAAACACACATATATTCTTTATATTCCTTGAAAACAATTTTTATATTAAATAGAAAGAAACATCTTTGACAATAAAAGTATAACAAACAAAGCATGGTACTTGTGTATTAACTGATGCCCATCAAAATTTCCAACTTAACCCTGATTCCTGCAAATGTTTGGTAATACTAGAATCTGCTCGATTCTTCTAGAAAGCTAAGATTTTTCTTCTTTTTTTTACTTTTATTTATATTTATTTATTTACTTATTGATAAAGGGAGGATTTTTTTTTTTAAATTCAACATCAGTTTCAAATCAATTGGAGCAAGCAGCATATGTGTCTTGCCCTTTTCTGGTATACCTTTCTTAATGGAAAATTCTAGCCACCATATTTGTTCATATTATGTTAATTTTTACTGCATTTTTTGTCATGCATTTTACTAGATATGCCGAGAAATTAAGCAGAAGTAATTTATTATTTCCAGGCATATGATTACTACGAAAAATTCATGAGCATTCAAATTCTTTTGTAATGAAAGCGTATATGACACAAGATATAGGATGGAAATATAATGTCAATAACTGTTATCTTAAGAACTTGGAATTGGGTCGAGAGAAGTTACTTGCTTTTCTATTTAGCAAAGCTCATATAGTAGTAGAAACAATCAGCTGAGAGTAACAATTTAATGAGATTTTGAAGGAATATATGTAATACAATATAGGCAGAAAATGTTTTTTAAAAAATATTATTATTTTTTTTAAAAAAAATATTATTATTTTTTAAAAAACATTAATAATTCTTAGCGTATTTGCTGACATTGAAAGTATATTTCATCGCCAATAGATTATTAGTGGTATATCGGTGGATATCAGTTAATATGTAAGTACCCAAAGCATTTTTAATTGTGTTTCTTCGATGTCAACAAAGTTAGATAATCAATCGCACAGCGAATATTTGTTTTTCTTTTTAGGAATTTATAGATACAGAATATCACACTTGGAACACAGATCTCTGAAAAGCGATAAACGAAGTAAATGGAATAAAATACACAACTGATAAAAACACTCATTCGGAGTATCTTGTCTTCTGGGCGTCACTCGAGTTGAATTTTGTTGAACACGAGGAATTGTTTCCATTATCTGCATCATGCTCAACACATATATAGCTTCGAAGGTTTAAGGTAACCGGTCCCACTCTTCAGAGCGTGTTGCATTGCTGTGAAAAAGTTGGAGTTTATCCATATTGCCTAGATACAAAACTATCTGCTTGAAGTGCAAATTTGAACGTGCTTCCAGCAGTAGTAAAAACAGTGCTGTCCTTCAAAATGTACTTTCATTTGTTTCTGCGTGCAAACAGACACAAGCGGAATACGTTAAAACAGCCTGAGTTTCCAAGTTTACAATGTTATATATATATTTATTATTTATGAAGAGATATGTGTTCGCATATATGTATATAGAGAGAGACCTATTGCTGACATTTTTCGAAGTTCGTCAAAGTTCTGTGAACGTAGTGTACGTTGATGGTCGTCTATCGCGTGTGAGCCAAACGAAAAGAATCACCGGTGCTTTTGGAGGCTGTGGGCTGGGAAGGTAGTCGAACTCCGGATTATCGCACGCTGGGGGTCGAAAACTGCGAGGGATCGTCATAATCTTCGGAGATACAGTCCGAATTCGGGTTGGACGTTGAAGATTGAGGTAATCCGGAAGAGTGACCGTTTGAGAAACTTTCCATCTTCTCTTCTGGAAATAAAACATAAATGTAAGTAATAGAAAGAAGATAGGCATTTAATTAATACTATTCAGAGTTATTGGTACTTTTCAATTAATGGAGCGGCAGCAGTAAATGTACGCCAAAGGGCCAAATGTGATGATAAATGGGATTTATTTAACCTCACGAATAGCTATATAGTGATATCATTATGAATTAGAGGGAAGAATGACCATCGATCCAGCAGTTTTATCTCCATTATTTATTTTTTCATTTGCTTCCTTTTTTCTTCGGTTGCTATTTTTGTTAAAGCTTAGTTTTTCTTTTGTCCTTGAAAAAAAGAATCAGTATGGGTTACATAATTTGAAAGTTGCCAAAAGATGAGCAGCCGTGATTAAATTCTTTCAACATAAAGATACCATACTACCATACTACTCAAACCGATGGAATGGCTTCTGAAGTAAGATGTCAAAAGATAACCAACAGAATTTGTCATTCCACACACCTGAACAAAACTTCTACCTACCAGCCACCACAATCAAGGTGTAGACGACAGAGCAGTCGCCATTTATTGAACATAGAATATCAGTATTAAGTTACACAGAGTGCTACATTTTGATATTGTGCGCAACTACGCTGCGTATGATAGAAATAAAATATACATTGCCAAACACTGAAGAATAACTTTTACATTTAAATCCGCTGACCTGATTTGTCCAGAATCTACAAAAGTCAATGATCGCAATTTGTGCTTATAGTGTTGATCACCCCCCGGCGGTCGACGTAGAGAACTCTGCGAAGCTACTGGCTAGGATCTGTACCTAGGCAGTCTCGGCCACGGGGTATAAAATCACGAGTCTGGCGGTTCCAGAGCCCGGGGTTGGGTCATTTGTATGGCTGGACCTCGAGGGAAAGGCGTAAGACGTATACCAGATGGTTCTGTAGCTTGGTGTGGGACGGCACCACGGTGTTGGACGGCACCGAGTTTGCTAGCTAATGTCCTGATGGGACGAGCTGCCCGTGTAGTACTGGCGGGGGCATTTAAACGACCGGTCAAGTCCATCAGGTGTTCAGGTCACGCCTCCGTCGAAAAGCCGAGAACAGGGAGTGGTGACCCCTCGGGCCCGGACCAGTAACGGAGGTTTTTTGGAGTTATTCTGTCCGAGGCTAAGAGCCGGTGTGGGACCCGGTTCTCCAAACATTAAGGAAGTTAGTTTAAAAGTCCTAAGTGGATTTTGTAATTTTGGGCTGAAGCTAAGTTTTGGATTTGTGCCCCACGACTCCAGTCCATAAAGTCGAACTCGTTTTATGTGGCCTACCTGCCACGACCCTCCCCCTGCCTGATATGGGGGTTCACAGCGGGACGATTCCCTCAGTTGCGTAACTGTTCGCAGGAGAGGTGTACAAATTTTGATTGATTATAGTGTTGATTGTTAACAGATTGGAATCAGCACAGATGGAAATTCTTTCATTAACTTTGAGATGCTACTTTTTCAAAAGCGCACCATGACTAGTTATATTAAGAGGTATTGCCACGCGCCTTTTTACTTTTGCTGCCTAGTACGTATATGTGCTGCCTAGTATAATGTGCATATGTGCTTAGACATCGAGCTACCATTAGAAGACATATTCCCAGGTATTTAATTATTGTTTCCTTCCACATATTTAACTTTTCCAGATCCACAATGACAATTGTTCAGTTTGTTTAATTTTTAGCTATGATCTATGGGTCTATACTACCAATATACGTTTAGTTTGATTTTGTTCCTGTTTTTATTGAATTAGTGTTTTGGATTTCAAATTACAGGGAAGATCGAGAATTCATATGTAGCTTAGGAAGATTAAACGAGTGTGTAGTTTTAGAGTGAAATAAAATTAACCTTACATTGTAATACACATTTGTTAATAATGCTGAAAAACAAAATTCTGATAAAATACAATTTAAAAAAATGTTTGCGTGCAGTAAACTTTTATTTAAAATGGGTATGATAATTTATACATTAACAGGAGAAAAATAATTTATCATATACTTCTGTGGGTATAATTGTGGGTATAAAAGATTATATACTAATTTTATTTACAGATATTGTAAATAAAATTTTTCATTCTAGTATTTCCATTAAACTCTAGGACAAATTATTATTACCCCTTTAGATCACTAATTATCCCATCTATTTTAAATAAAAGATTAATGTATAAAAATCTTCTATAATAGAATTTTACTATCCACCTTTTTAGTCTCAATTACACTTATCTATTATGAAATTTTTAGTCATTATTAAAACACCACAAGTAATAAATTATAAGAAAATTATATAATAACGAAAAATAACTGAATGTTATTCAGAGAATAAGAAAATCCACGATGGCAAACTCAAAAGCAATTTTTCCTCTTTTTCTCTCGTCTGCTTCAGACTGCAATAATGGTTTTTAAAATAATTACAGACAAATGCTCAATAATACTTTTTTATCATTCTTGTTTTAAAAGAGTTTGTTTTGAAATCTGTGAAAATAAAAAAACTTTATATGCAATACATTTTTATAAGTTGAAATTTTAAAAATCATAAATATTAGATAGTCTGAAAAATCGAGCGATTTTCAAAAACTCACCGAAAATTCCAAAATTAAGTTATAATTTTCATACAAGTTTCATTGAAAAAATTTTATTCCGCTCTATTCAATGGTGCAAATTGTGAATTTCTGACATGCTTATTTATTAAACGAAGACACACGAGGAAAAAAGTTTAAACATCAAATTAAAAATTCTAAATCGAATTTTGATAAAATTCTTTCACCAAATTATCATTGGCCAACAGAGTCTGTACAAAATTTGAATTCTATAGTTAATCATGATATAGATTAAAAATCGATTACAAAATTTAAACCACAGTGAAATATCGTAAGTAACCTAAACAGAAGCTTGGAAAAACAAGGTTTATTCTTTAGTTTCACGTTATAATAAATAGGATAGATTATTGTTATTGCACCCATGGTAGAGCTTTCTACCCAATAATGTGTTTTTTTCCACGATGTTCGTTTTCTTACTGCCAAAGTTATATTTTACTGTAAGAGTTTCATCGGTGACAACAGACTTAAAAAAATTTTTTTTTTCGACAACTCCATAAAAATTTATTTTATTTAAAAATTCATATATATAAATTCGGGTAAGCGCATACTCACATTAGCGAGACAAACTCAAGTTTCATGTAGTTAAATAGAAATTTTCTGTAACTCGTTAATGATCACTGATTATTCAGTCTATAAAAGACTAGGCCCACTATTGGTCGAATGGTAAAGGCATTGAACACTGGTAGTTCAACTTGGATTCAATTCCAGGATAATGGGTTGGCTGGCTGGGCGTTTCCGTGATTTTCCCATGTGTAACATAGATACGAACCAGTTCCTCTTAGAAAGTCCTCTACGAAGGCATCCTTCCTCTGAAGCAAATAGTTCTAGTGTGCTTTGCCATTTTCAAATAAACCAAACCAAACTGTTCGGTACTTCTTTGGGGATTGAGGTTTTGATTTAAATCAGCAACCAGAATGCAGATCTTCAACATCGAATAGAAGATTTCTAAAATGTCAGACGTATGATGTACAATGGTTAAATTGTGAGAGTTTTGTTGTAAAAAAAATTTATTATAGTTCGACCGCCTCATCCGCGACCATGAGCGCAAACACGAGTGCGCCATTCGGACCGAATTTTTCTCAAAATAGGGTGGAAGGAGGGGAACTTTCTTTCCCTCTAGCATAGCTCTTTCCGGAGAAGAGAAGACCTTTCACGTCGCAGCAAGTAATACCGCCCCTTTTGGACGAGTCTATGTGTTTTGGCAGAATGCCAACCAGGGTTGCGCTTGAGACGGTCAAACTATAGCAATTAACTGAAAATCAGTCTTAGACTCCTTCTTCGTATTTCCCTTGCAATTCAAATGAACTTGTAGTAGAAATTTTGCCAGTGGACGAAAAAAAAGTTATGCGGTTGAAAAACTTTAATTGTGTTTTTCTAATGCCTTCAAGAGAATCAAAATGTTTTTTTATTGCAGATTTCTACTTTGGGGAATATGCGAAATTTGGACTGTAAGGTGAGTAAATTTCGTTTTTGCTAAATACTCAGTTTCCCAAAAGTGCTGGACCCACCAGCAGTTGAGCGGTAAAGTTGCTAAATACTGGTAGTCGGTCAGGAGTTCTCGCGGAAAAGGCTGGCTGCATAAGCGGTTTGTTTTCCCCATATGTAACGTGTATACGACTCAATTTCCTTTAGAAAGTCCTCCACGAAGGCATCCCTCCCCTTAGGTAGATAGCTCTCGTGTGCTTTGCCGTAATTAAATAATCCAAACCGAAATCAAGCGGGCTGAATGAATTGGTGCGTCATTGTGTTGTAAGGTCGTTCCTCTCCCTGCCAAATCTGGCTTTACCAGACAGAACGTTCACGCATGCAAACGCTCAAGATTCACATCTGTGCTATTCACGCAGTGGCAGCGGCACCTAAACTCTATCTTTCAAATGATCAACAATTACTGTTGATCATCTTTCAAACAAGCTCGTTCATATACACGTGCCTGTGATAAGCAATATTTACCCTGCACGCCATGTAAAATTTTAGACGATTTTCAGCCCAGTTCACGAAAAATTTAATGACAGTTTCCTATCAAATTTTTGTATCAGCCAATTTTTGTCTGTGACAAGCGTTTCTAAAGGAACTATATTTAACATTTCTGTGGCTGTGGTCAACCTTCTTAAACACAAGCACATGACAACCTTTTCGTCTCACGGTTATAAATAAAGTATCGAGCTTCATATACTTAGTTACAATTTGCTCGAAAAATATCACGATTAACACTTTGTCTTTGTGACAGTCGGTCAGTATTTAATTTGATGCGGTAACTCGGGAGGTGATTCTCGGTCAGCACTTGATTTGACGTGATAATTGGAGCGTAACGATATCTATTTATGTTTAGTTTGGGTAAAATCGTTTCCTGAGTGTATTCAATAATACACGCGTATAAAATAACTGCCAATCTTTACTCTTAAATACGTTTAGATTTATTCTGTTATGTATGCTTCTTCCACGTTAGTTCGAACTCGACTGTCATGGTAATAGCAATATCATTTTCAAAGTTACGGAGCCAATTAAGTTTAGTTTTCAAATTACTAAATTGAATACGATGAAGGAAAAAATTGAATACGATGAAGGAAAAAATTGAATACGATGAAGGAATCAGTTCTATAGAAGAAAAGTTCGAGTTTTCATTGCTGAAGAACGAAATTACGTATGTGCCAAATTACTTGTTGATATAGAGAAGGAAAGTAGTGATAAAGATAGCGATAATGTAAGAGGTGTAACATGGTGAAAAATCAGCGTAATAGATAGTGAATGTGAAAGCGACAGTGATACCACAAAGAAGACAGAAAATTCAAAATTAATAATGTGCGTGGAATCCGAAGATATACTGCAAAGAATATATTTTGTATCCTGAGAAACAACCGTAGGCTGGCAGATATCTTCAGACATAAAAGAACCATTAAATTTTTGTGAAATTATTTTAGGTTAGATGTAAAAAACTCCCCAAACATGCAGAAAATCGACGCAAGTTGTTGGTTCGCAAGAGCGAAAAAGGAAAAGAGTTAATGTTTGCCATTTGGAACAAATCATTTGCTCAGTTTTTTAATCCATGACAATAGATAGTCACTGGATCCAAGCAAACGATAACTTGCGTAGGAAATACATGGTTCCCGGGAAAGAAGTAATCGAAAAGAACGATACATATATCCGAAATCATGTTTATTGCACTGCAGCTTATATAGCTGGAATCACGAATTACTAACGGAATGATGTAATATAAATTAATTAGTAATATGGCGAATTAACAATTGTGAATAAACAGAGTTAAGAATAGACTAGAAGAGAAACATGCTAATGTGACAATCAAAATCGTAAAAAAAAAAACCTTGTATTTAGCGTAGGTATAATGAAACACTCAATCGATTTCGAGGGCAGCTAAAGGTCCCTCCTCATCAGGAGAAGAACTACATAGAAAGAAGAAGAAAATAGGAGTAACAGACCACGTGGTCCTTATCAGCACTGCACGTGGTTATAAAACTAGATTTTAATCAGAGTTGCACTGGCCGCCTACTTTTACTGAGCCAGGCTATTTGATCAAGCATAAAGAAATATTAGCGAAGTTAAAATAGGGAGCGAGAGGCTTAGACTCTATAATTGACCGAGCTATTGCGAAGAGCAATGTTGCCGGTTCCAAAATTAAAGCCCAAGGGCACTTGACATAAATAAATCCGGACGTGGAGAAAATCTCAGATGAGAAAACGGAGATAAGGGGAAGAAGAGAAGTACCAAAAGGAGCAAGACAATCCAATCGGACCAGTTCGCAAAAGGTGACGAGCGATCATAGCTTTCAAGGAGGACCCAAGACAATGGAAATCAATGACAACAATACGAGAAGATACACTACAGCAATAGTTCCAATGACAAATTCAAATATAATTAAACAACATCAATCGGTAGTGCTAAATACAACACAATACAACCACTGAACGGATTTTTATACCCTCCGGTAGTACCAAACGCGAGGAGGTAACGCCATCTATCGGCAAAAATAACTGAATTAAGATAGTAGAATTTTAAAGGCATAGGAAGGACTGGATTGGACTTCAAATCATTAACTAAACTTGCTAAATCTTTGTGAATGTGAAAAGCCTCAAGAAAATCCAATTCACCTATGGAGAAGCCTTTGGATGATTTTTGCAGACCCAAAATCAAAATTATGGTTAAAAGTCCAACTATGATACGCTATTGAAAAACTTGTTAATTTCGCCTTTTTTGACATAAGATTCATGTTCCTTGATACGAAACTTCAACGCTCTTTTGTTTGGCCAATATATCTTAACCACACTGACACGATATACTATAAATTCCCCAAGAATTCAAGACAAAAACGCAATCTTTTAGAATCGAAGGGTGAATTTTATTAATAGGGAGAGAAAACCGACTTGAAAATGAATTTCTGGAGAATCCGTACAATTTTATAGCTAACAGAAGGATAAAATGGAAGCATGACAAGGTCATTAATATTATTTCTAACAGTGAATGTCTTCTTGATGGGAATCTGAAAATTTTTTAACGGCTTATCAATAATCACGGGAGAAAATCCACGGTCAATCGCAACTGCTCTCAAATAATTAAATTCATTGGTAAGCAAAGATTCAGAGGAACAAACTTTAAGCGCGCGGAAAACATAATAATAAAAAGAAGCCATTTTTTGCTTAACGGGGTGGCATGACTTGGCATGGGGTGGTAAACAAACTGCAAAGGGTTTACGGTATACAGTGGTGCTAAAATCGGTTTCATTGCGGATTATAAGAATATCGAGGAAGGGGAGGGAATTGTTGGATTCAATTTCAAGAGTGAATTGGATGGCTGGATCAATTGAATTCATAATAGATAGAATCTCGGATAAATCCTCTTTATAACCGTCAAAAAGTGCGAAAGTGTCGTCAACATACTCTGATTAAAAATCTAGTTATAACCACGTGCAATGCTGATAAGAACCACGTGGTTCTGTGACTCCTATTTTCTTCTTTCTATGTATTTCTTTCTCCTGATGAGGAGGGACCTTTAGCTGCCCTCGAAATCGATTGAGTGTTTCATTATACCTACGCTAAATACAAGGTTGTTTTTTTACGATTTTGAGAGTTAAGAATGCTTCGAAGCACTACATAAATAAAAAGATGAACTACTTATTCTGATGTTTCGCAATATCTTTTTTTTATTTTGATCTCCAAAGCTGGAGTGACGAAGAAATCGAAATTTTTAATAAATCCACCTTCATGAGAAATGTCATGGAAGTAGTGGAATGCTTAATTAATAAGAACAAAATAGCTGATGTTACTGAATTACGAAAACTGATGCTGCTGTAATACGAGAAATAACGTGTGACCCTGATTTTATGAAAATTTATGCTCTTAATGCCTGCTGCTAAAGAAAACTTTAATTCCTGATCAATACCAGAACCATTGTACTCCATGAGTAATCTTCTCTGATAAATAGATAAGAAATTAAACAGAGTTTGCCAAAAAATTAGAGAATTTTCAATTTTTTAAGGGGGTTATATTAAAATATCGTACAATTTCCAAATGACTACCACTCCAATAAATATAGTACTTGAGAGAGCTTCCCTCCGCGGAAATAGATTTCTAGTCAGGAATTGGGACAAATTATGTTTCTTGTGTGCCACTTCTTTTTAATAATATTCATAAATAAAATAAATATTTACTTATACGTGAAGTGAAGAATTTCTTAATATTTTTTGTTTATTATTAATATTTATTACCTGGGAATGTATATACACATAAGTTTTTAACATATCTCAAGTTATTTCATTTTTTTATATATATACAGTCAGCTTTCTATTAACTGAAGACAAAGCAATTGGCTTGCCAGTTAAGCAGGACCTGTTTAAATAATTTTAGTTTACAAGTTACTTATTGCAGAAAGATGGATAAATTACTATCACAGCCATCAGCGTCAAACTATTACAAAAAGTAAATAAAACTATAGAAAGAAAGACAGGAGAGCCCACCAGGAGCCGAGACGTAAATTCGCTGAACACTGATAATTCTACCCGGGTTCAATTCTAGGTGAACGGAGTAGCTTCATGGGGGTTTGCGTATTTTCCCCTATGTATTAGGTAGATATATGTTTCTTTTCTGTAGAAAACCCTCGCCTTAGGTAGATAGTCCTAGTGTGCTTTGCTGTAATCAAAACAGAAAAAGAAACGTGCTTGGGATAACAGCAGTGGTAGTAGATGTTATAGTATTTAGACATGTTTCTTTAAATATACACCGTCATTAGATATAATTCGGGATGTATTAACATTGTTCAATCATCCATTAAAATTGTTAAATCTTAAATATAAATCAAGTATTCAGTAATTAATCTTCTGTATCATTCTGAAGTATCTTCTGTATCATTTCCAAAATATAGAGAGTAGGTTTGGGTTGGTATATTTGATTATGGCAAAACACTCTAGAGCTATCTGCCTAAGAAAAAGGAAGCCTTCATAGAGGACTTTCTAAAAGAAACTGATTCGTATCCATGTTACACATGGGGAAAACCAACATCCATGCAGCCAGCCCATTTAATTGGAATAGAACCCAAGTCGAACTACTCGTGTTCGGCGACTTTACCGTTAAGCCGCTGGTAGGCCTTAAAATAAGCATAATGTAAATAAAAACGTTCTTTTTATTTGAATGTTAATTTAATTTACACGACTAAGTTAATTTAATTTACACGACTAAGTGCAATTATTCGTTTGCTTAAAATTTTTTAAAATACACGTAAATTGTTATTAGTAGTCTTCTGTTCATTATAATATAAGTTATTCTTCTTTCTTGAGTTTTTATTTTTTTAACTGTTCTAAGATAAACCGTAAACAGTATTCCCGACGTTATTTTGATTCATCGGGAGTTCACTGTAATGCTACAACATTTTATGTACTAGTATATTCAGAATATAATTTATTTTAATATATTTCATGCTATACCTGATAAGTTTGTTTCGAATAAAACGGGTATTTATTTTTCAATTTTATTTTACTGAATTACAATTAATAGACAAGGTGTTAATAAATTTATAGTCCCTAGCATTTATCGTCTGTCGGTATCCATGTATACAAGCAGCGTCAAGGATTAAAAGTTTGAGTTTTAAATTTTCAATGACATCTGAAATTTTATTTCGCAAGTGTCTCAACCAATTTTCTAGAACAGCCGTTTGATGCAGCATGATAAAGTTCTTTCTATTATGCACTCACCCTGCATATGAGCGTCACTGAGATCCTGTGCGCAGAGAGCAGACTGTCCCAAGTACCCGCTGCCGTGAATTTCGATGTAAGCTGAGGAAGGCACAGTGGCTGCCTGGTGGGCTGCTGTCACTTTCATATTGGGCGGTGTCTGGGGTGGTGTATCAGTCTGAAGTGAGATGGGATTGAAACCGTGCAGACTGCAACTGTAGTTGCCGAACCTCTGGAAAGGTACAGCGCAGCTCTGAAACGAAGAACCACTGCCTTTCGCTGCTGATGGCGCTGCTCCCCAACCAGCCTGAGAACATAAGTCCTGGTGCGCATAAGGCATGAGAGCCGTTTCGACTACTTTGTTAGTAGCCGTATCGGCTAGGGACCAAATTTTGGGTTTGTACAGATGAGATTCAGCAGAAAAGCACTGCCCCACCGACACGGTAGCTAAAGTAGTCGGATGGTCTTTGGCGGGACGGTGATGGGATCCCATGTATGAATCTATGGAACCGAGATCCGGCGAGGAACTCTGCGAGGAGACGGACGGAGTGTATCCACTAGAAGGGCAAGAAGGTGCCCCTTCTAAGGAGGAAGAAGCCGCAGACAACATGTCGGCTGAAGGGTGGGAATCCTCATAATGCTGGTGGAGATGCTGGTCACCAACCGTTGAGCGGTAGGCGCTGTCGTTTCGATGGTGTTGGCCAAGGTCCATTTCTGAAAAGTATAAGAATTAATTAGTAAAGAAGGAAAGATATCTGTATCTTAAATTTGATATTAAAAAATTGGCTAAGAATTTAGAAATCTCCCTAAGTCTTAAAAGATGCAATAACATTTTAATTGAGACCGAAAAATGCAAATCAAGTAAAAAAAGCACTAACTTGTTTTAGTTTTTGGCTACTGTAGGAAACGTTTACGTCTACTGTTTTTTAAATATGCAGATTGTGCTATACTTATGCTTTGTTATTAAATAAATGAAGAAACGTTTAATTTATTTTCATCATATATATATATATAATTAAAAAGCTAGGTAGTAAGTACTGTGCAGTAAGACTTATTTGGTCTTAAAAAATTTTTTGCGCAATATGCTGCAAAATTAAGGAAATAAGAAGATAAATTGTAGTGAGCTCGCCAAAAAGTTACCAGGAGCTGTGGCTCCAAGAAATAGTTCAACATAGTATTTAAAAAAAAAAAAAAAACAATGACATTGAAGGGTGAAAAATTAGGCTACACGCGAAATAAAATGTAGAATATAAAACACAGTAAAAATTAATCGTTAGAAACAGGTGAATGGCAAAAAATACAGTAAAAACCTATCGATGTGATAAGTGAAAAGTAAACACGTATAAAAAACCGATCGATGGAACAAGTTAAAACAAATAAAAACATATGTAAAACATAAAATTATAAAAATTATAAAGCGGTAAATGGTAAATTAGCTCAATTCGACTTCCAACCTGGCTTTTCAAGGGAAATTTCAGTTAAACGTCGAACCAAGCTAACTCCATTAGGCGTTTCGCCAAAACAGACAATTGAAACTCTTGTGTTACGAAAATTTTATAATTAGATGAATTGCCCTAAAAATTGTCCAATTTCCCAACGCGTCCGCAAAAAATGACACATTAAAATGTAAAAAATGTAAATGCAATTCCGATGCACATCAATAATTAATAATTACAATAAAATAAATGGCGGTTTGCTATTAGTCAAACTATACAATAACGTACGGGCTGGACCTGCTTTCTTAAAGAATTAAACCTTTATAAGTTTTATAGATCTTAAATTACATTAAAATGAAAACAAACACAGTGGGTCTTGCTAAGACCAAGAATTTTTTTTTTTTTTTTAAGAAACATAATATTAAAAAAAAAAAAAAAAAAAAAAAAAAAAAACATTAAAAACCAGACCTGTGGCTATGCAGTCCTCTTGAACGTGAAGCAAAGTTGAAAAGGGGTTGTAATTCCCCTCTGTGTACTTCAATGCCATCCCTCTCGTCGTGTGACGTAAGGCGGGGGAAGCAATGTCACTGGGCAACAGCCAATGCGATTAGATTGTCCGTTGGCGGTAACTCGTCCCCCCAGAGCTAAAAAGGGGTTGAAAGACTCGACGTGGAAAGAATTCAAAATGGCGTCAGTCAAGTTGTTTGAAGAAAAAAAACTGTGAATGTGAATAAAACTGTGAAGTTCTAAATGTGAAAATGGCTAATTCAGCTAAAATTACTCAACATGGCCACAAAAGTAAAGAGTAAAATGGACAATCTATTCTTCAAGTATAAGTAAAAACAGCAAATCTTGACAGTACTCTTGTAAAATAGTATTCTGCGGTGTTTTAGGAAAGAAAATAAAGCATAGTGTTACAAAAGTACGATCTTTTAATAGCACCGATACGATCTGTTGCTAAGAACAGCGAGATTAAAAATCATAAGACTACCGGTTTTAGAAGAGTACTGATAACAAGAATTAGTGTTATAGTATAAAATTTACAGTTATATCGCAGTGTCTGAAAGGCCTTAAATTTATTTGCTTAAACAGATCGGCTTTTACAGATTGTTGTTATTAATGCTCTTAATTAGAACATAATATAGATATGGTCTACGAATTCTTTGAGGCCAAGAGCAAAATGATTCACCTGTTATTGGCGAAGGTCTTGGACACCTTATAGATAGCTGACAGTATGAGTATGGCAAACTTAGTCTCAGTTTTAAATTGAAAATATTTCTTCTGATCCAACGCCTGCTTTCCATCTTCCCTACTAACAACCTTTAGATGGTTAGATAAGACTCTCGAATGGGCGGTATTTTAAATGTTCCATGCTGGTAAGATACTAAGATATTACATAGTAACAATGCCTTCCCTAGGAATCCTACTAACAATCGACACCACTAACACTGCACCTACAGGAAGGTGCTTTTCGATTTCATTCACAGAATGGCCCAAGGATATTCTAAAACTATTAATGGATAAAATTATTGTATAACATCCAATAAATACTACTAAAGCTGGAACTGGGATCTTACGAGGTATAAAGCGGAGCAGAATTTTCTACAATAGCAGATAACGTACTAATGTTTGTAGCTATACTTTAGTGAAGTAAAATATATAAAGGTATTCCTTAAAAGCTGTAATATTTATTAAGCATTTTTAAAAGTGGGAAATTGTAGATAAAGAAAAGTAATGCGGTTATTATAAAAGAAGAAGTTCCTGTGATAAAATACTATTTCTTTTGTAGATTTATGTTTTTAGATAATATCTATCGGCAGAATTTTGTTTCCTAACGAATGTTTGTTTCATAACGAACGCTAACTCTATTTTATTATTCGCCCCAAATCGAGTTTAAATCGTTTTTTCCTTTCTTTTCCATTCATCCCAATAACTGTCGAATAGGTAAAATGGCTGAATACTGAAAATTCGAACCTGGCTCGACCGGAGGTGAATGGGTTAGTTGCATGGTTGAATTCGGCAGTTTTCCTCATGTGAATGTGAATAAAAAAGCCAGTTTTCTATAGTCTTCCACCAATTCTTCGTTAGGAAAGTTTTTCCTTTTCTTTAGGTTTATAGCCCTCATGTGCTTTGCCGTATTTAAATAATCTAACCTTATATTTTTTTCACTGATTCCAAAATGTATCTAAATTATATTCTTCATTTCTATTAAAACAATTATGAATTAATAATACTTTTGTACAATTTCAATGAAATGATGTCATATAACTGATTAATTTTTAAGTAGAAGATAGAAAAAAAAATGTTATAAAATGCTTTTTGAAATAATACTTTACGGAATAGTAGTTCAAAATAAAACATGAAATATTGTGAATTTGTTTCGTTCTAGGACAACATGCTTCTAATAATTCCTCATAGAAAGAAATATGCTACAACACTGTGTATTGGCCACAGTTAAATTATTTCGTTCTTATTTCTGATTTTAAGATTTGTGATTGATTATGTTTATGATTAAAATCAACAGAATGTATTTAATTTTTATGCTTTCTAGCGTTGATATATGAATCTGAAATGCTACAAATTATTTACTACATTTGGTTTTTTGAGTATCCACTAATGATGGAACGGTTAAAGTTCTCAAAGTAACAGAAGTTGTTTTCATGTATTCTGTTCTCAATAATGAAACAGGTACGTAGATGAGCATTTTCTTGATTTTTCCATATGTAATGTAAATCATTAACTCATAATGCGTACTTTTGATGCACAAAAGGGTAAACTGCCGTCTGTGAGATTGCTCTTTTAAGATATCTTTGAAGAAACATTTGCTAAAATTGCTCACAAATGAATTTAAACATTCATTCTTCTTTACTGATATATCCATAAACACACATTTTCAAAAACACCACAAGTGAAGAGAATAGAAACATACTAAACACAAAAACTAATAAAATTAACTTGAAATTATCTAAGTAGAGAATAGTACAACACTGTTTGAAATAAATGTTAATATTTAAAGTTATTTTAGCAGCTTGTAACTAAGTTATTTTTAGAATAAAATTATAAAAATCTTTTAAAAGTTGTAATTACCATGTTCTAAACCTATGCGTATAAAGTTGGTGCATTTGGGTTTAGAACCCTGCAGGCATGTTGGCTTCTTACACTGTATACAGCAATATTGCTAAAATTATAGAATAGGGATTTTGTCGTATCTTATGACACGAAAAATCGGATTTTATATTTTTTAACATTAATTCTTCATCTATTGCTGTCAACTTTCCCTCTGATTTACATAGAACATATATTATTGATGAATTTAATTCGTGAGGTAGGCGACGATTCTGTTGTCTACGTTCCATATGCTCTTGGACTGCTCTTGACGTTAATTCTTCTTTCAGTACCTCATTTTTCTTTTATCAATGATGTCCGTAAGTGGCCTAGCAGTAGAGCTGCACAAGTCAGTTATCCTTAAAACATTTTCCACGAAGGCATTCCTCCTCTTAGGCAGGTAGCCTTTTCCTTATTCTGAATAATCCAATCCAGTTGCAGCACTCATGTATGATGTGATAATAACTGTAATACAGAAAACCGTTCTGCTTTTTCTCCAAATTCTCCAGCTCTTCCTATTCAAGCAGTCATTTTTATGATTATCGTATACATTCCTGTACGTGATGTGATATAAATTTCTAACGTACATCCTTTTTAGTGATAATTTTCGTACATATATTTAGTTTCATCTAAATTTCCTTCATTGTGAAAGTTTGTACTTCTGACGTCGTCAGTATTTTCTGATAAGGTTTTTTCAGAACCTAAAATTAGCAAAGCAACACTAGTTTTTGGCGTAGATTTAATCAGGAACTCTCGATTTCGAGGGCAAAGATGTACAAGTCCTTCTTCATTAGAAGCAAAGAAATCTGGGAGGCTGGAAGTAGTCGAAGTCAATTGAGTAAACTTAACTAAATCTACGCGGAACACAAAGCTGTTGTTTTGCTAATTTTAGGTTTCACTTTGGAATGTTTTTCTTCTGTTTTGATTCATAACTTTTTCACATTCTACATATTTACATATTTGTCTTCTGAAAGATTACTATGATCTCTTAAACTACTTCACTGAAACTTTTCCATATAGCCATTTTAAAGTGTAAATCGCCATAATGTAGGCCCATGCAAATGCTTCTAGAAACTGTAACATTAACTAACGTTTGGTGACTGACAGATACTATCGAAAAAAAAAATTCTGATTCAAAAAGTTTTTATTATCATGAACTGCAAATACAGTGTC